TTTTGTTATATCAAACAAAAACAAAAAAAGGACCGTCTTTCCTTATCTTGAATCCTTGCATTATCCTAAAGATATTATTATGTAGTGTCGCCCTTCTTAGTGCTATCTTGTTACTATCGAGAAGACTTCTGTAATGTGCTTTGTTAACAGCATTATTTTAAGAATTTGATTTTTTTTGAAAAGTGTGAGTCGTTTGCTATTAGTTTTTAATAGTACTTCACTGTCATCAAACAAGATTTTTCAAGAAATGTAGTGCTGTTACTCCTTAGTGGAACTGCATAGTAGGTTATAAATCGATAATTTCTTAATTTCCTTCTAGAAGATTCCTTAAAAATTTTAAGTTAGAAATTAAAGTCTGTACATGTTTGCTTATTAAGCAAAAGTTGGTTATAAGAGAGATTCAATTACTTACAATCACTTAAATGGTGTTATTTTAGCACCTATTTGCCATTTTTTAAGGAACACAATGTATCGCAGATCTTAGCTCAATCATTGAATAATAACGAAGATTATGAGAAATACTCAAATTAGTGAGTGAGTTGGGTGGGACTCTGCAGAAATCCCCCAGCCATTATAGTGCCCAGATGCACTAACTCGGAAAAAGCTCAACATAAGACAAAGAATAACTGATATAGTTTCTGCTAATTGTAATTGTAATTCAGGTGACAAATACATTATTCTGTCTACTGATCGCTACAGAGACACCACATATAGTTGGATAGGCTCTTATGTTGTATATTGAGTATGTAAGGGTATTGGCTGTCAATCAATTATTTTATACAAATTTTCGATATATGTTTTGCTAATAGAATTTTAATTAATCTTGAGTATTACTTTCTTAATATAATATATACATCTGAAGTTCAGTATTCTGTATAACACCTTAAGTGTGTTCATTGCTGATTAAGTTACAAACCCAAACATCTTTTAGAGTCGTCGCTGTAAATCACAATTTAATTTTGCATTAATTTTTATTTTTTTTCGATATTTTGACTTTAGTCTAAAGTTATCATCAGGATTGTGATTTCTTTTTTCTTAATTTTTATTTTTATTTTTAAAAACAATATAAAAAAACAAAAGATTTGACCAATTTGCCTGAAAAAAACACTTTATTAAAACTGTTTGGCCACAAATAATTATCATTTAAAAATTAATTTATATAAAATAAATATTTATATAAAATTAATTTTTATTAAAAAGAATTTTTAAAATTCTATATAAATATGCAAATTTAGTAAACATAAAATGAAATTTATATAAACTATTTTTAAAGGAGTATCGTTTTTGATGTTAAAGTAAAATTTAATCTTAACCAAACAACGATCAAACCAATCCGTTAGGACCTTATATGCAATGAAAAGTTAGGTTTCCTTCGTAGTCTGCACCGAGTAGTTGATATATGTACAATATTCGTAGGGTACAATACAAACACACTTAAAACTGCACATATTCATTAATACTATTTTAATACCAAGTAAAATAGTGTTAATCAATATGTTAAGAATATTATGATAATCAACGAAGGGTATTCAAAAATGAAGCCTTCAAAATTACTATTGCTACGTTAAGCCGAAATATAAAAAAAAATTAAACAAGAAAGGATTTTTTTTTAAATTAAAATCGACAGAAACAATTGCGCAAGGATATTTTAATCTGTAAAAGAATTTTCTTTAATTTTGAATCTCTTGTCAGAAGGATGTGCAATGCAATTCCATTGAACGTCGAACCATTAATGTGTGCAATCTTCCAGAATGGAATAACTTTGTTGATTCACAATTTAAAAAATTTGAGTTTTCGTGTAAAATATCTAAAAGTATCGAACTTCTAACGGATATAAATGAAACGTTCTCTTCACGTTCACGAACACGAAAGCTCAAGTTTTTAAGTTTTGATTTTGGTAACCGATATATAATACCAACTATACCAA